TAACTTGTTATTATATGTTTACTTTTGTCATTGTTTTATTAAGTCCATTTCTCTCATTAAACTCTATGAGGTCAGGATCTCTGCCTTTTCTGTTCCTCATTATAGCCTAAAAGAAAAAAAACCAAACTCACTGCCACTGAGTCAGTTCGACTCATAGCAACCCCACCTTGGGTTTCATCTTACATAATGCCTTCCATATAGTAAACCAAAATCAAACCCACTGCCATAGAGTTGATTCCAACTCATAGCAACCCTGTAAGGCAGTGTAGAACAGTCCCATAGCATTTCCAAGGCTGTAAATCTTTACAGGAGCAGACTGCTGCATTTTCCTCCCATGGAGCAGCTGGTGGGTTCGAATCACAAATCTTTTGGTTAGCAGCCAAATGCTCTAACCATTGTGCCACTAGCACTCCTTACCATATGTTGTTGTTATGTGCCGTCGAGTCAGACCCGACTCATAGCGACCCTTCCTTGGGCTGCCGAGGCAGTATCATTACAGAAGTAGATTGCCCAGCAACCTTCCTTCCGAGGAGTGGCTGGTTGGTTTGAACAGTCAAGTGCCTTAGGCACTATGCTACCAGAGCTCCTATCACTATGGAAGTACATTGCCCCATCTTCCTTCCAAGGAGTGGCTAGTGGGTTTGAACTGCCAGCCTTCTGATTAGCAGTCACGTGCCTTAGGCATTATGCTACCAGAGCTCCTTAGCATATAGTAGGCACTCAATAAATATTGAAAGAAAGAATTATGAATGAAGATTTTAGTTTATGCTTACCTTAACCATAGTGGAAACTGGATGTACTCTCCTAAGATTTTTCAGAATTGATCCTGCCAGATCTGTCACAGACAGTCCAATAGCCCAGGAGGTATACCCCTTCATCTTGATAATCTCATAAGCGCTTTAGTTGTAGAAAAGAAAAGAAAATTCACATACATGTGAAGATTGTGGAAATAGCAAATGATTTGTTACATATAGTTAGTTCATCGTAGCACTTAGTCATAACTTGTTATTATATGTTTACTTTTGTCATTGTTTTATTAAGTCCATTTCTCTCATTAAACTCTATGAGGTCAGGATCTCTGCCTTTTCTGTTCATCATTATAGCCTAAAAGAAAAACCCAAGGAGGAGTGGCTATGATCAGGTCCGACTGGATGGCACATAACAACAACAACAACAATGTATACTCTTCAGGAGCTCTGGTGGCGTAGTGTTAAATAAATATTTAACACAATTTTTAAAAAAAGACCATTAGATGAATACTTTTGATTAACAAAAAAAAAAAATCAAATTCATAAGAAATCAACTCATGGAAAATAATACTCTTCAAGCATCCATTTTGTAGCATTCTATTAACTATTTTCTCAAAGATTCCCTCTAGAAATCCTTTAGGAACAGGCAGTAAAAGTTACTATGCTCATAAACTTCATCATTCACTTTAAATAAGAATTCACCCTTCTTTCATCATTAAGGCAGAATACTAGTACATATGCACCACTCAAAATGAAACTAGTTTTAATAATTTTTGTAATTTTACTTAAATATCCAAACATAGAATTTTATAACCTAGAAAGTTACCATATACCTCTCTCTGACCATTTTCAATCGTTACTAGGGTGGCAATGTAACATTATATAGTTGTAAACTATGTGTACTTATTTTTCCCAGAACTGTATTGTTAAACTGATAATAAACTGATATAAGAAAATGTCCATAATACATTTTTAAAGGAAAATAGCACAAATCTAAACATATGTATTTATTAAACATCAGTCTTATTTAAAATATAATTTTTATAGGAACTTTAGAATTGCATTTATACACCAACTTATTAATAGTGATTGTTTTGAGTGATGAGAGTACAAGTGATTGTATCTTTGTCATGCTCTTTCAGAAATTCTCCTATTTTCTACAATGAACATGTCTAATATTTTTTCACTGCCACCAGCAGTGGACACAGGTTTGGACTGACAGTTGTAGCATAGAGAGGCTATAACTTAGCACTGACTTTATTTAGTTTTGTGAAAGAATACAGAACAGGAAACATAGCATACACAACATCATTATTCTTATCAGAAAGCCTTGAAACCATTAGGCAGTTTTCAGGCCCCAGGACTAGACATAGTACATTGGGTCACAAAAGGTAAGGTTGATGTGTACATAGACCACTTTAGCACAGGGAAGTTGGGCCTGGACTGTGCCTATTGGGGTATCCTATGGCTCTGACTGTTAATCCAAAAGAGGGGAAGCCATGCAGATTAATGTCAAAAGCATGATTAATTTTCAGACCCTCAGTTCAATGTGGCCGAGGTTCTGTGAGGGAAAAGGAAAAGGAAAGGGAAGGAAGTTCTGCCTAAAGGTTAATTAATTAATTGATGTACCATCTATGAGTCGAATTAAAGAAAGCTCTGCAGGAGATAACTAGAGATAAATCTTACTAGTGGAGTTTGGATCCTCTTGGGAATTTAAAAGATGGATTAAGGAAGAGAGGAAGGTTGAGGGGGGAATGGCAAAAAACATAATCTTTAGTTGTTATTAACCATCCTAATGAAGGTAAACCTGCTAGCAGAAAAAGAAGTGTAAAAGAAGCAAGTAGAACAAACACATTTATGGCTGAGTTTTAAAACAAAAACTGATCCATATTGTAAACCAAATGCTCCTTTGGGAATCTGGAAGGACATCATATTAAATCATGATATCATTCCCTGCAATTGTTGGCTAGGCACTGGAAAAACGCACTGGAAAAACAGGAGCTATAGCATAAAAGAGTTGAATAGTTTTCAGATAAATACTGGAAGTATCCTGAGGATTCTTTATGATTCTAGATCCTCTGCTAGATGATCAAGGGGCAAATAATTTAATTTTAGATACTGCAAAGCTGACAGGACTAACTGGAAGGTGTAATGATCTGTAATGTTCTGCAGTGTTTGGTATTCAGAACATACAGTAGGAAATGTGATCTTAATCATTATTCCCTTATAGCACAATGTTTCAAATAAAAAAGAGCATTATACAATAAAGGGATTGAGCAGACAAAAGATCAGTTCTGTGCTTTCCCTATGGAAGACAGATGAGCTGCTTCATGACACTTGGAAACTACTGTTGTTAGGTGCTATCAAGTCAGTTCTGACTCATAGAGATTCTACAGAAAAAACACTGCCCAGTACTGCACCATCCTCACAGTTGTTGCTCTGTTTGAGCCAAATGTTGCAGCCACTGCGAAGCATCTTCTTTTTCACTACTTTCTACTTACCACCAGGATTGGATGAAGGCTCGTTAAAAAACTGAAAGCAAAGAGTGCTTGAAGCACTTACTGATGAAAATCAAAGACTAAAGCCTTCTTAGTCTAAGACAGAGTGTAAAATATATATGTAGTCATGCACCATATAATGTCTGTTCTTTAGTGTAAGGATTACACCTCAAGGTAAAGAAAACAAAAATCCTCACAACTTGACCAGTAAGCAACATCATGATAAATGGAGAAAAGATTGAAATTGTCAAGGATTTCATTTTACTTGGATGCACAATCAACACCCATGGAAGCTGCAGGCAAGAAACCAAGTGATGTACTGCACTGGCAAATCTGCTGCAAAAGACATCTTTAAAGTCAAAAGCAAAGATACCACTTTGAGACTAAGGTGACCCTGACCCAAGCCATGGTATTTTCGGTAGCCTGGTATGCATGCAAAAGCTGGACAATAAACACAAAAGACCGAAGAAGAGTTACTGCCTTTGAATTATGATGCTGCCAAAGAACACTAAATATACCGAGGACTCCCAGAAGATTGAACAAACCTGTCTTGGAAGAAGTACAGCTAGAATGCTCTTTTACAAGAAGCAAGGATATTGAGACTTCTCACATACTTTGGACATAGTATCAGGAGAGAGCAGTACCTGGACATCATGTTTGGTAAAGTAGAGGGTCAGTGAAAAAGAGGAAGACCCTCAATGAGATAGATTGACACAATGGCTTCAACAATGGCCTTACACGTGGCAACAATTGTGAGGATCACACAGGAGCAGGCAGAGTTTGATTCTTTTGTACATAGGGTTGCTACGAGTCAGAACTGACTTAACAATACCTAACAACCACCACTTTACCAAGCATAACATGTCTAAAGTACTTAGGATGAAGTCTCACCATCCTCCCTTCCAAGGAGCATTCTGAGTGTACTTCTTCCAAGACGGATTTGTTTCTTCTTCTGGCAGTTCATGGTATATCCAGTATTCTTTGCCAATATCATAATGCAAAGACTTCAGTTCTTCTTTGGTCTTCCTTATTCAGTGTCCAGCTTTCACATATATCTGAGGCAATTGAAAATATAATGGCTTGGGTCAAATGTACCTTAGGCATCAAAGTGACTAAGGTGCTTTTAACACTTTAAAGCACCATAAAGATCATTAAAAGCTTTGCTTTTTAACACTTTAAAAAGGGTCTTTTGCAGCAGATTTGCTCAGTGCAATATGTTTGATTTCTTGACTGCTGCTTCCATGGCTGTTGATTGTGGATCCAGGTACAACAAAATTGTTGACAACATCAATATTTTCTCCATTTATCATGATTTTGCTTATTGATCCAGTTGTGAGGATTTTTGTTTTTCTTTATATTGAGATGTAATCCATACTGAAAACTGTAGTCTCTGATCTTCATCAGTAAGTGCTTCAAATCCTTTTCACTTTCAGCAAGAAATGTTGCATCCACTGTGTATCGCAGGTTGTTAATGAGTCTTCCTCCAATCCTAATGCTGCATTCTTCTTTATGTACTCCACTTTCTGCGATTATTGGCTTAGCATACACATTGAATAAGATGGTGAAAGGATACAACCCTGACACATACCTTTCTTGATTTTAAACCATGCAGTATCCCTTTGTTCTATTTAAACAACTGCCTTTTGGTCTATGTTCAGTTTCTACATGACCACAATTAAGTGTTCTGGAATTCCCATTCTTTGCAATGTTATCCATAATTTGTTATAATCCACACAGTCAAATGCCTTTGCATAGTCAATAAAACACAGGTAAACATCTTTCTGGTATTTTCTGCTTTCAGCCAAGATCTGCCTGACATTAACAATGATATCCCTCATTCCATGTCCTCTTCTGAATCCAGCTTGAATTTCTGGCAGTTACCTGTTGATATACTGCTGCAGCTGTTTTTGAATTACTTTCAGCAAAACTTTACTTGCATGTGACATTAATGATAACATTGGATAATTTCCGCATTCTGTTGGATTAATTTTTTTGGAAGGGCATAAATATGGATCTCTTCCAGTCAGTTGGCTTGATGGCTGTCTTCCAAATTTTTTGGCATAGATGAGTATTTCGAGTACTGCATCCATTTGTTGTAACATCTCAATTGGTATTACATCAATTCTTGAAAACTTCTTTCCACCAGTGCCTTCAGTGCACCTTGGACTTCTTGTTCCTTACTGGCAGGAGTAAGATTATTATGCCTCTAGACCAGCTGGATCCATAGATTTACTGAGAAATAGCTCCTAAAATGATGTGATGGATTAAATTCTGTTCCCCTAAAATAAATGTTGAAATCCTAACACCTGTACCTGACCCTCCTTGGAAATAAAGCTTTTCTTTTGCTATATTAAGATAATCATACTGGGACTGTAAAATGGTACAACCACTGTGGGAAGCAGTATGGTGATTCCTTAAAAAGTTGGAATTAGAAATACCATTTGACCCAGCCATTCCATTACTAGGTATATATCCTAAAGAAGTGAGGGGCAAGACAAGAACAGACATATGCACATCCATGTTCATTGCAGCACTATTTACAATAGCCAAAAGATAGAAACAACCTAGGTGTCCATCAACTGAAGAATGGATAACCAAACTATGGTACATACACACAATGGAATACTATGCAACCCCTAAAGAATAACGT